AAACAAAGATTACAAGGGGCATGGTGCAGAAGCCAGATACCGCATATAAAGTGTGAGTAACATTTGAGGAAAACAAGTTTTGGGAAAGCTACTGAAGGAAATGTGCTCTGTGTCAACTCTTCATTTGTTACATGGGAGCAGCTTTCAGGATGTGAGCAAACGTCCATATACTCTATGAAAATATTTGTGTGTTAATGATTGTCTAGAAATTGATTGGAAGAACCTCTCAAACCCATGGCTGTTACTGCTTAGTATTGTTTGCGTGTTACTGAGCAGAGATGACAGCAAAAGCAAGCATCATGAAAGGTGCATTACTCATTAGGACAACTGCACTATCGCAGCATCTGATAATAACTGCTGGGCAGCATATCTTACTGAAATACTCATCTCTCTAATATAAAAACTCACTTCTCAAATCTTCCCTAATCAATAGGGAGAAACCGCTGGGTTTATATCAAGATTAATGAAGTGTGTTGATTGCTGAATGCGCGTGCAGGCTCCACCACAAGGCACTTAACTTGATTTCAGCACGATTGTTAAAGCACGTGTAGCACAGTTATGACCAGACTTCAGGAACAAATGATGTTAATTCTCAGTACAGAAATACTTCATTGTCCTAACATTCACTAAGAAATCTCAGCTTTTCAAAGCCTTCTATGTTTAGAAGAACATTTTCTGCGCTTACAGTGATATGGTTTTACATTGTTGGTTGGTATTTCAATAGCTTTCCTTTTTTCATTGCAGATTATGTTTATTTTGAAAACTCTTCCAGCAACCCATATCTCATTAGGAGAATTGAAGAACTGAACAAGGTACACAAATAACTAAGATTCTTGCTTAACCTTCGATAGACAGTGCGCTCTTCAGACGCTGACAGTGATTTCCATGCCATGAAGTTTCTGTTTCGGGGTGGGGGGTGTGTTTGGTTGTTTCTGGGCTTTGTTTGTTTGGGGCTTTTTGGTGTAGTTTGAGTTTCAGTCACTGAAATCTTGCTATGTGATATCCAGTCCTTCTGCTCTGTTACCTAAGGCCACAGCCAGTTGATCATTCCTGGTGGACAGGAGTACTCTGCTGTAAAAATTTCCAAACAAATCCTACAAATGCTTGAGGAAACAAATGAGTTTAATGCTCTATCCGTGAATCCGTTTGGAATGATAGCAAATGTGGAATGTATATGCTTTTGGATGTATCTGGAAAGAGCTAGTGGGCGTCAGTGAGACTTTGCACTGATCAGATATCAGAATATGTGCCTTCTGTGGCTGTGTACTGCTCTTCTTATTGGCAGCTGTGAATGAAGGACAGGCTTTTGAATAGAGACTGTACTCTGATTTTTGCCAAATGTATTTTATAAAGAATGGAGGATTTTCACAGTGTCATTTTGGGGAAAGCATGGTTCTTTTCCTTTGTTTTACTACGAAGAATGGTGTCGGATTTTTTAGCATAGCGTATTTTTACTCATCCATCAACCAGTATTAAAACTTCCCAACATGTTATGTCAGAAGTCAATGATCACAATGCCTGTCACTATGTGAATAATGAGAAAATTTTTGTTCTCCTGTGGTTAGAAAGTAAACTAAAGAATTGGTGACCTGCCCAACAGTTTTCTTCTTCTTAACGGAACATGAACACTGCTCCATAGGAGACATCAACCACCTTACCTGCTAGTGCTGGCCAACACAACAGCCATTGAATTTGTGTATGGCTTTTGTTGGAGAAGAGTGTTTATGTACAGTAATTGAAGTGATTCCAATCAGGTTCTGAGTGGGATATTTATTATCTTCAAACTGCACTGCATTGTGCAAAAACTGAATCTTGCTTGTGGTTGGCAGAGCAGGGTCATACAGTGATTTTTTTTGTTAGTTCTTATTTTTTAAGAGAGAGTTTTGAGGATATAGTCTATAGTGAATTATGTTCTTTCATGTGTTAAAGGCATTGAGCAAACATGGAGACGTTATGCAAAATGCTTTGGTTATTTTGCTAGAGATCTGATGCTTTTTTTGTTGGTGGTTTTGTGTTAGAAACTGAATTAAAACATCATATTACTCAGTGCCAAATTGAGTAATATATTGTAATAGTTTAATAGTAAAATTCATCTTTAGTTTTAAGTAAGTAATTGAAGGTAATGAACTGATTCTGTATTTCTCATAACAAGAAAGAGGGAACAGTTTTTCAAATATTAGTAGATTCTTTACATTATCAGGCAGAAGAGCATGATCCCTATAATGAGTCAGGAAAACAACTGCGAACTAAATAGCTTCTTTATCTTAGAGCTGCAGTGAATTTTCAAACAATCCATGTTATGTTAAATATGATTCTGAAAAAAAAAAACCCCAGTACTTTGAAATATACGTATCTGCCTAAGGCTGGGTTGCAAAGAAGTGTTCATGAGCTTCTAATATTTCTTAAGGTTTCTCATGTTAACATGATACTGGCATTACATCCTTAGCCAGCTGAATAATATATAAATCTTTAAGACAAAGTAATTTATAGTTGATACCAGGTTGGACACAGGGGCTTGGAGCAACCTGGTCTAGTGGAAGGTGTCCCTGGCTGTGGCAGGGGGTTGGAACTGGCTGAGCTTTAAGCTCCCTTCCAACCCAAACCGTTCTGTGATTCTGTGAATACTGTTGTCTCATCTGAATTGATACTGTTGTCAGGAAGTTCTACTTATTGGAGTAATTCTGTTGATTTCAGCCTGACTGATCATGTGAGAACTGCTAAAATGAGGAGAGATTGCAAGCAGAGGGCATTTAATTTCTATTCCTCAGCTGAGCAGGAATACATTCTGACTTGATTTATCTTTCTTTCGTAGACTGCCAATGGAAATGTGGAAGCAAAAGTGGTGTGCTTTTACAGGCGAAGAGATATCTCCAACAGCCTTGTAATTCTTGCAGATAAGCATGCTAGTAAGTAGATTGTGTAGGGCATTTTTCTTTATCGCTGCCTGTTCAGTTTCTGTGGCTGCTTAAAATTGCATTTCTTTGGCATGTGGAATACATATTTGTATTAGGCATTACTTAATACCCAGGTAGATGCTTAGCTTTGTCTGATACTGGCTCTGCTTCTAGTAGTTGCTTCCAGAACTTAAGTTATAAGCTGTATTAAAGTAATTGAAAGTCCCCATTTGAAAAGAGACAGACATTTTTTTATGTGGAAGTTACAACTGTATTTTTCTTATGTCAAAACTAAATCTGGCTGTAAGTTGATTTAAGCTTAAATGCTTTAAAAGCATTTGTGAGTATTTGATTTGACTTTTTTGAGTTAGACATAAACGTGTAGTGCTTACTGTAAATAAAGGAATGCTTCATGAGAGACTGAAAATCACTGGAGATTGTAAAATAGCCATTATGTGCATTTATGCTACATGTAGGTATTAATGAGTAAAATAGCAGTAAGTATCATCTCATAGGGTTTGGGGTTTTTTTTCAGAAGAGCAGCAAATGCTAATAGGGGAAGAAAGTCCCATTTTCATCATGAAGTTAGCTTGTCTTGGTCTGCAACTGAAATACAGTATTTTTTCCATAACTTTATAATTAAAAATACAATTCTGAAGACAAAACCAGACCTAAAACCCGGAGATATTTGAGAAAATAGCTGTTTGCAAAATACTGCATTCATGTTTGTAAATAACTTAGTGTTAACTATGTCAATGCCTAGTAAATTTCTTGCTGTTTGCTGTTAAATAACATTTTGTTTGTAAATGATCCTTGAGTTTTCAACATTAATATGTGAATAAGTGATTATAAAGCTCTGTTTTCTGATTTATTGGGATGAATTCTCTTTAAAGACTTTGTCTAATGCCATCTTCTGTGTTCAGATACACAATGGTGTAAATAGGTGCTTAAAAAATACCTTATAATTTGTTGAATGTCAAGTGTCTGTTGGCGAAAACTTTCAAGTACTGTTAATGAAAAGAACCAGCCAGCTTTTGACTTTTGTTTTATTCCTTCATTGGTCCTAGAGAGGTAGACGTGATTCAAGTGCATAGTGTTAAGTATTAGCTTGCTTCTTAAAGAAAAATGGCACATCTTGCTTATGTTCTAAGGGAATGATTTATTTCAATGCATTTCTGATATGGTTGGGTACACTTTCTAAGTATTGGTGACCTATTTTACAGTAGTCTGGCCCCACAATCAATCAAGTTTTTTGAGTTCTTCCGTATGACATGTGTAGAAACATAGAACTTTCAGTGACCTTCACTAAGCATTCCAATACTTCTTGTTTGCTGCTTTTTCTTTCCTAATGGAGGGGGCAGAGAAGGATGAAAAGGGGTAACAATTTTACTGGAAACACATTTATCTGGTTTGCCATTTGATTTTTAAAACATGAATCATGTAGAATTTTTTGGTTGTCTTGTTTTTTAGAAAAGGGTATTTTAGTTTTGTGGGCATCATTTGAGCTGCAAAAATTAGGTAAGATTTTTCTATTTCCTTTATGAGTTTTAGATTGCCATTTTGTCAGCACTCTGGTATCAAAGGCTTGCTGATGGTTTGTTGCTCTTCCACAATAGGGGTTTGTTGGTATCAGTAGAAGTACCATGGAATCTTCATCACATTTTCTCAGTGCAGATTCTCTTGCTGCTTTCTCGTGAGAAAATAGACATGTAATTTCTAGGTGGTTGAACAAGCATCTCCAGAATCCCTCTGTCTCACAAGTCGTAAGTCTTCTGACTGGGTGTTCTCATGGATTAGGTTTCTCTCTGGACTTTTTCTCTGTACATAATGTTTTCTTTCTGACCAGACTGTAGGATCTGCTAAGTTATCTCACAATATCCATGTTACAGGGAACAGCACATAGTGAAGCATTGCTTGCCTAGATCTTCGTACAGCTCATACAGCAGATGTAGTTAAATGTCAGATCAATTTAAATGTTTTGAGTCTGGAATATCACAGTGTTCTGTTTAAAAATATGATGTATGTAAACAAAATATTTGTGTATTTATGAATTGAATGTTTTGGGGATGTTTTCTGTAGCTGAATGTGTTGATGCTTCAGCACTTCTACCTGTTGTGTTAGAAAAGAAATGCTGAAAGGCACAAGTTTCCTTTGGAATAGACATTGTAGTTCAAGGACTGGTTTCTCCAGTGTACCTGTCTAGAAGAGTCTTTAAGTATAAGATCTGTTGATCTTTTCTAATGACATTTTATATGGCTAGCATTTATTCTTTTTCTGTTACTATAAAATAAAGGCCAACTTGAAAGCAAAACCAAAACACTGGCCAAGATCAGCTTCTTGGTCTTACAGAGCCTCCTGGACTGAGTAGGGGAGTTCTGTTGGAGTGTTAACACCCACCAGCTCTTAGGTTGTAGCTGTTACCACAGGGTCACTGCGAGGGGGGCATGCCTTTCTTCTTGCAGTGGTGAGGCTTGCTTTATGGGGAAAAGAAGGAGGAGAGGGGAATAGAAGGCAGCACAAGAGCTATTGCCATTATGACTGAAGTACATAAGCAAATGAACTTGGAGAGATGAGATAAAACCACACAGCTCATTAAAATGGGTGAAGCAAACACAAGGGGTGGTATAGAGATATTTTCTAACCAAATGGTGTCATTGAATGAGAAATTGCCAACTGTAGCTGGATCTTGACAATTTAGATGATCCTTTATCCAAACTAGAGTTGATACAAGTGTTTTAGGGCAGGATTTTGCTCTCTGAGGACTGTACTAACTCTGGACCTTGTAATAGCTTTATGCACTATTACTTTCTTGAAGCTGAGTAGGGTGGCCTGAGTGCACGATGCTGGTTTTTACAGTACTTTACATTTGAAATTCTTTATCTGGTCATGCGCTATCACGTAATACTATGTCTGAAGTCATTCTCTTATTGCAACTCCTCCAACAGCTTTTGCCTAGTCAACCACCTAGGGAGGATATAAAAAGGAGTTCCAGTTATCAGAGGCCTTTGTCTTCTGATTTACTAAGAGAATTTGCAGTGACTTTAGGTGTGCTGAGCTTCTGACTAAACGCCTGGAGTTTTTCTGGCAATAAAGCCCACACACGGTTTATTTTTTCTCAGCAACAAAACTGATGCTCTTGTGAATGAGACAGGAGTCAATTCAAAAATAAATCTGAGACATGCTGGTTTCAGTGACCGAAAGATCAGAGGTAAACTGGAGTTTTTTCTAGATTACAGGAGCTGTAGTCAAAAGTCTGCTTTTTTCAGTCTCTGTTGCTCTTTGCAGAGATCACTGACTGGCTTTACCTCTTGTGGTTGAACTAATTTTAGGGTTTTTTCTTAGCTTTTGGCTCTTGAGCAGTCATGTTTCATGTCACATAGCTTTGCAAAATGGTGTTTCCGCTACAGCCTTTTTGTACATGATAGATTTCTGGGAAGAAAGGAAAGAGTCCTGCTAGTGATCTAGCGATTCCTGTTGAGCGGGAATCAGTTCTGACCTTGGGCTGACATTGATGCATTATGATCAGAAACAAAGTATGCTCTTTGTACTTTAGTTTCTTTCTCTTTAAAGTGATGCTTGTATTAGAAGTTCTTACCGAGGTTGGTGACAAATACATAGTGTGAGGTGTCCCTGCCCATGGCAGGGGGTTGGAACTAGATGATCTTAAGGTCCTTTCCAACCCAAACCATTCTGATTCTATGATTTAGTAGACCAGTACATTTTTCTAGCTCTGGTTAAAAGATCTCAAAGCCCCTTACATATAAAACCTGATAGTTTATTTTGGGTATTAATAGCAAGTTCCAGCAGTCCTGGAAATAAATGGTTTGATCTTATACAGCAATTGTGCTGCTGCTGAGCTCTTGGTTACTTTATGTAAAGATGCTTTGTATCTGTGAAAGACCAAACCCAACCCCCCAATTATTTTGCATCCTGTCAATCAACATTAGTATCACAATAATTGCCAAAACCTCCAGATGCATCCAAGTGAATTAAGCTGTTAATCTAATTTTTGAGAAGCATTTTAGTTCAGTAGAGCAGCAGGTTAGCAGAGAGCTTAGAAGATGGCAAGAAAATGAGCTTAGCTTGAGGAATATTGTTTATTGTATTGCATAGTAAGGCAGATTACTCATTAATATTCCTCAAAATACACAAAACTGAAATGTGAACTCCATTCATATGTCATCAGGTTTTTTAATACGTGGTTGCTGTTGCGTAGTGGTATTGTTAATAATTCCAGCAAAACCATGAGAGAGTTTCCTGTGCTCTTCAGCAGTCAAAGAAACACAACTTCACTTCATTCTTTCAGTATTTTTCTCCAGTGTACACAGGACTAAACCAGCAGTTCTCTCTGTTGAGAATTTAAACATTCAGTCTATAGGAAAAAAAATGGTGTCTGTGGAGACCCTGGGGGTTCAGTAAAGAACTCGAGTGAAATTATAGTATCATAGCTTGGGTTGGAAAGGACCTTAAGATCCTCCATTTCCAACCCCCTGCCATGGGCGGGGACACCTCACAATAAACTATGTCGCCCAAGGATCTGTCCAACCTGAACACTGCCAGGGATGGGGCAGCCACAGCTTCTCTGGGCACCCTGTGCCAGCGCCTCAGCACCCTCACAGGGAAGAGCTTCTGCCTTAGATCTAACCTGAACTTCCCCTGGTTCAGTTTGAACCCATCACCCCTTGTCCTGTCGCTCCAGTCCCTGAAGAAGAGTCCCTCTGCAGCATCCTTGTAGCCCCCTTCAGACACTGGAGGCTGCTCTGAGGTCTCCACGCAGCTTCTCTTCTCCAGGCTGAACAGCCCCAATGTTCTCACCCTGTCTCCATACAGGAGGTGCTGCAGCCCCTGATCGTCCTCGTGGCCTCCTCTGGACTTGCTCCAACAGCTCCGTGTCCTTCTTATGTTAAGGACACCAGAACTGTGCACCATACTCCAAGTGAGGTCTCACAAGAAAATGCTTTGTGATGTTCAGTGTTCTTTTCACTCAGTATAATTCAGAACATTTATAAGCT